CCAAGAAGTGATCCAAGGCCACCTGTATGGAGAGGACAGACAGGAAAAGTCAATGAGAGGGCCTCAGCTTTAGCTGCCTAGACTGCCACCTGAGCAGCCCCCAGGGGAAAAGCTGAAAAGATGAACCATCAGACTTGGCCCCAGCACAACAGCATCCATCATTTTGTGGCCGCAGAGCATGACCCCTGCATTGCTGCAATCCTGCAGGCTGCCCGAGGCTCCTTGCAGGCTCCCTCTGCCCCAGCTGAGTTGCTGAGTTGCTCCGGACTCTCCCTGCATCCTGGCTCGGACAGGGAAACACTGCTTTATGGGCCGTGGCTGGGAGCCAGGTTGCACAAGCCACAAAGCACCACATGCTTAGTGGTGAGGGGGAAATAAAGGGGGAGAGGGGAACTGACCATGGGTTTGATGCTTGGCTTTCCAGAACAGAGATTTACTCCCGTTGTACCCAGTTTTTCCTGCCTAGCCAGGAGTGCTCTCTTTTAAACACAGTAAAACCAACAAGACATGAAAATGATTGTGGCCACACCCAGGAATTAGAGGTATAAGCTTGAATTCTTCCCCCCAGTACTCCTCTGAAAGCGAGAAACAAATAGCAGCTCTCTGTCCGCAGCCCGTCCACTGAAACAGCATATTCATGGAAATCCACACCATAAAAACACAGCTTCAAAAGTGTTAATACCAAAAGCTTCTGCTCACCTAAGCTTATCTCAGCCCCACCAGCGGAGCTGGAGCACAGATTACAGGCACAGTATTAGCATGGCTTGGAGCTGTAACACAAAGATGCAACTGGGTGGACTGTTTCTCTCGCTCTTCGGGTGGGTCTCGTCCTGCGTTACGACTTTTGTGCCACTCTGGAAGAATCTCAACTTGGACTTAAATGAACTGGAGATCTGGAACATGGGGCTCTGGCAAGTCTGCATAATCCAGGAGGAAGGAGCCATGGAGTGTAAAGCCCACGAGTCCTTCCTCGCTCTGCCCCTGGACCTGCGGGTGTCCCGAATCCTGATGTGCCTTTCCAATGGACTGGGGCTTCTTGGATTCCTTCTCTCTAGTCTGGGGTTGGACTGCTGGAAAACGTGTGAAGAAAAACCTGAACTAAAGAAACGGCTAGTGCTTTCTGGAGGAGCAGCTTTTGGCATGGCAGGGATTATGACCCTCATTCCGGTTTCCTGGGTTGCCTATAACACAGTGCTTGAATTCTGGGATGAAACTATTCCTGACATTGTCCCGAGATGGGAATTCGGGGAGGCAACATTCCTGGGGTGGTTTGCTGGCTTTTTCCTTGCAGCAGGTGGGTTGCTCCTTATCTATACCACCTGCTTAAAAAGGACTGAAACACCATCTATGCCTGCAGCAGTTTGCCGTCAACGTGCAGCGATGCAAGGTCCAGCTGGGATGTCACCTTGGAGTCACCACTCACACCCCAAAAATGCAGATCTGGTAATCTAAGACTTTCAGCACAGTGTCCTGCGCAGTTCCTGGCTGTTCAGATTTCAGAGACAGTTCTCATATTTTACAGGATGATTGGCTAATTCCTAAGACAGGGTTGCAGATTTTTTTTCTTCCTGTGTGTCTGTCTGTTTCTTTTCTTTTTTTTTTTTTTTTTAATTAAAAGAGCAACAGCTTTCTCTGCAGCACTTGCAGACTGAGCCTAGCGTTCTAAGCCAACAAGGCAAACATAGAGCAGTAAAGAGCACTTCGTATTTTGTGGTTACATTTGCAATATAGTCAATTCTTGATTACACTATGTTAGCATTTCCCTGGAAATTTCCAATAGCCAAGAATGTAATCATTGTAACATCTATGTCCAAACTAAAAAGTTCATTCCTTGAATGTCCATTTCTCTTTAATGTAGTCAAAATAAATTATTTCAGTTGTTAGCAGTATGTATTTGTGCTCTGAAAAATATACCTGCATCTCATACAATGTATGGAAAGAGTCAGGTAGAGTTTGCGCTTTAAGGAGCAATACTGCAGTCTGAATATTACTTTTTTTCATCTAGCAAAGCTTATAAAAGAAAAGAAAGATGGAAAACAAAAGAGATGGAAATCAAAGAAAAAAGAAGAGTTGATACACAAAAAGCGTGCCCTGAAGGCACAAAGCCAGTGGCAGCATCCCGTTCGCTAGCCTAATTTTCTCATCACTGAGATGAAAAAGTAATAAACGTACCACAGACCTTCGTTTAGAAAGTTTAACAATTGAATTGTTTATCTGTGCATACAAAGCAAAAGCAGTATTTTGTGGGTCTCTTTAAAGATCTCTTCCACATTTTCTTTATTTGGCTCTAAAAATAAAGCCTGCTTATATGCTCCTGTGATACTAACACCACCAAACATCAGGCTGAACTAATACCAAGAATCCTGACAGAAGTAAACGTAGTGTTACAGTACTACTTAACAGCTGAGTTTACTGCTGTTTTAATCTGTTTGCACTAAAAGCCATGGTCGCATGATCAAAATGAAGGAAGCCCCCATCCAAAACCAGCATTCCTTTGGGAATCAAAGTTCACTTTTCTTTAAAAAGTTCTGTTTTGTAATTTGCACTTTGCTCTGGCTAAGCTGAAGAGTAGAGAAAGAAGTACGCAGGGAGAGAGAAAGAAATTATTCCCAGGGTTTTTTTCCTGCTGCCTGGACTTAGGGCATAGCAGAAAAATTGCAGCCAGGCCAAAATACAAGATTCTGAGAGCTGTGAGCTTCTTAAACAGTGCCACTTCCCCAGGCCTGTCAGATCTGCCAGTCATTGCCACCGCTGATGCACGTTCCCCCTGTGAGCAGGACCCTCCTCGTATAGAGAACGCAGGATGTAGTCTCCAGCTCCGAGAGATATAAAAAAGGTCCCATTCGCAATGATGGGCTTTGGATTCACCCTTAAATACACAATCAAAAATCTAGAAGTTACTCTAAAAACAAAACAAAAATACTGCCTGGCAAGAACGTACAAGTAATTCTGACGTTTTTTCGCTTTGGACTAGTTCTGCAGCCACCAGTTTTCCACTACCTAGGCACAAAAACAGAATTGCTGTTGCTGTTGATTTGATGGTCTGAAAGCATCCTCTCCTACTTTCCCTAAAGCGCGAGAGCAATTCAGCTGGTTGCAGTCGGTCGTGCACAGAGTTAAGAGGGGAGAGGAGGGCACTCAGGAGTTCTGTTTCATGCCATGTCCTTCATAATGAAGATCAAGTAAGGCAAAACATAGGGGCCAGAAGGGTAGCGTTCTTGGCTGATGAACGTGCTTTTCAAAGATTTACACAAACTTTTAGCTGCCCTCTAAAGGTCTGACAAACCCACAAAACAAAGAGACTCTATTTTGGCTCTAATTTGTCACCCACACCCTTGGGAAATGAAAATAGGGGGAGGGAAAAAGACGACGAGGAGACTGTGAGTAAAGGTTTCTAGCTTCGGTACATTCCTCCCTTTAAGCCTGACCCAAACCATCAAGACTTGATGGGCACTGGGGACTGTACTCCTGAGAAGTCTTCATTCATTTTTTTCTTTAAAAATAGGGTTTGCATACCTGTTGGTTATTTCATTTCTGGCAGCAATTTAAAAGAACAGGGGAAAGATACTGTCCCATGCCT